CGTTTCCGCTGGTAGGTGCCGCGGCTTGGGCGCGAGCCGCTTCCGCTCTCTTCTTACGGGCGAGTTCTCTCGCCTCGTCGGCGGTCAACTGGCCTGGCTTGCGCTTGTTGTGGGGGAGTTCGCTTTCGGGGACAGAAACCATTTTACTAACGTAGGCCACGACGGGGTCCGACGGGCCGGTCTTGAAGGAGATCATGGCGTTCTTGATCTCTTCGTTAATAGCATCTGAGCCGGGGACGTCTTCCAGCATCTCGGGTAGTCTCTCGGCCTGCGCGACTGGGGGTGATGGCAGGGACTCAATGACGGAGACGAGCATGGCCGTTGACAGCGGAAGCCAGGACGCAAAGACTGTGGTCAGAAGCAGGCGGGAGTCTCGGGAGCGCATGATGTGTGGCGGGATAGTCAGTCCGAGGGACTTTGTAATCTTCTCCAGCAACGCTGGGTCACCCCTATTGTTGTCGCCGCCAACGGTGGCTTGGTAGACGGTCCAGATAGGCTCTAGCACCAGCTGCACAAACATGGGCTTTAGGTTTCTCCCCTTGAGATGCTTCTGGCCCAAAATCTTCTTGGTCTTGGGGTCGAGGTAGAAGCTACCCCATAGCACCTTTTCCATGACATCTCTCTTGATGCCGAGCTTCTTTTGATATAAGCCGGCAAATTGGCGCACGGTAAACGCCCAACCGTCAATGGCGCTACTAAAGATGACGTTGTTCTTCTCCGGCGCAAAGTAGAGATCCTCGTCATCGCGCTCCTCAAACTGGAGCTCTCCAGACTCGGTCATAGAATCCAGGCCAGCCTCCTTGGCAGCCGCCGCCTGGACGCGCTCCTCCATCCGCTCGCGCCAGTTGAGATCCTCCTCCATACGCTCGCCCTGGAAAAAACTTCCCAGCACGGCGTTGACCTGCTCGAGAATCTTGCTGAGATGAGTGTAGGCCTCGGCAGGCGTCATCTTGAGCTCGGTAATGAGTCGATCAATCTTGTTGATGACGAGCAAGGGCTTGAGCTTCTCGGTCCATGTCTGGCGCAGGACGGTCACGGTCTGACTGCACACGCCCTCGACGGCGTCGACGAGCACGACGGCGCCGTCGCACAGGCGTGAGGCGGTGGAGACCTCACTGCTAAAGTCAATGTGGCCGGGCGAGTCGATGAGGTTGATGAGGTACTCCTTGGCTTCGGGCTCGGCGTCGGGTGCGGATCTCCTCAGCATGGAGAAGTAGAGGGAGATGGCGGAAGATTCCATGGTGATGCCTCGGAGCTGCTCATCAGGTCTAGAGTCGAGGTACCGGATCTTGCCGGCGAGTTTGGGTGAGATGATGCCGTTTGTTGCCAAAAGGGCGTCTGTCAGTGATGTTTTGCCATGATCAACGTGGGCCAGGATGCAGATCTGGTTGCGGTCAGTCACTGAGAGAATTGTGTGATGATGATGATGAGGTGAGAACTTACGTTGCGCACATCCACGGCATGCCTTTGCAGGCTAGCCAGCTTGTCGGGAGTTACAACAGGCATGATGGGCGGATATGTGATGAAGGAAGAGTGGCAGATGAGGGGTTCAAGGGGGTATCAAAAGATCTATGGACAGAAAGCAATGCCAGATGAAAGAAGCAGAGTGAATGAGAAAGCAGGTCTGAGGGTCTGTGTGATGCCTCCCTCCCTTGGCTGGTATATGAAAGCCAGTGCTGCACTGCTGAGTATCGTTGTTTGCCCGAGGCAGATGATGTCGTTATTGACTGGGGGGGACTTTGGCAGAAGTAGCGAGTACCTGAGTGAGTTGATAATGATGATTCGGCGACTAAACTGGCCCTGGTCTGTGACTAATAGGCCGACCCAAACTGGAAGTTCAGGTCAGAAGCAGGACGTAAAGACGGCTCTGATTCGCCACTCTGCTGTAAGAAGTTTTGCACGGACGAGGGTAACTCTGACTCTTGTCCTTGGTATTGCCTGAGTTTGAGTGTGTATTGGGAGGTTGATATTATCCCACAGAATATGAGGTGGATGCACCGAGCAGACTGGTGCAGTGATGAGTAATGTTGTATAGCGTGTGTGTCTATGCAACTCTTTTTCTTCCTTCGTCTCTTGGGGAAGGAGGGGGGAATGTCCTCCAGGGCAGGCACAGGCAACCTTGGAGTTACCTCAGCGGACTAACCCCGCCAAAAGATACATTCAACCCCTCCAACGACGCATCGACCAAAAAAAAAAAGGCCACCAGAACCCCTCTACAACCGTATAGTTGCATTAGCTCCGTTACCTACAACCCAAGGCTAGCCATCGGCTTCATCCCCACACATCGCTCTACCGAGGGTGCAACAAACCCTAACTCGCCAAAAATTCACTGGCCCCTCTCTCCCAAACCCAAACGGTGCCTGTGATAACCTCAGCAAAAGCCCCCGCGGGATTAGCCAGCGAAAAGGAAATTTTCGACTCGTCCGCCCGAAAACCCCACACCTCTCGAGCGAACCCCCTCCGACCCGACCGCCCATCTGTCCTCCCAACTCCCCTTCGAAGGTTGAAGACATCGCCAACTTTTCGCGCGCCCTTCCTCTTTCGGAACCTTCGTCAATTTTTTTTTCTATTTTTCAATTTCTATTCCTAACACATCTTCGTGTGGGAATAGTCTTCACCGAAAAATCCACCCACCATGAGCGGCTATCAAAACGGAGAGCGGCCCGTCCGCGTCGACGACGACAGCGACGTCGAGGAGGAGGCCCTCGTCAACGACTACAAGGAGCAGGTCCAGTATGAGGACAACATTGGCGAGGACCTCGAGCAGGTCAACTCCCTGACCATGGCCCAGCAGACCGACGACATCCAGTCGCGCCTCGCCGCCGCCGCCCAGCCCCTCGACTTCTCCGCGCCCCTCGAGGTCAAGTTCCAGAGCTACGACTCCTACTGCAGCCTGTTCCACTTCATCCTCAACAGCGAGGGTCCCGTCGACCTCGAGCCCCCTTCGGTAAGCTTCCTATAGACTCCTTGCTTCTGTCTCCACCCGAAGCTATGCCGTCGCGATAGCATCACCACACGTGGACTAGGGAAGCTAACATGTCTTCAAATAGTACTACTGGGCCTGGGACGTCATCGACGAGTTCATCTACCAGTTCAACTCCTTCTCGTCCTACCGCATGCGCATCGCCCGCCAGGGCAACAACGAGGAGGAGATGCAGGTCCTCAAGGAGAACCCAAACACCTGGGGCTGCTACTCGGTCCTCAACGTCCTCTACTCCCTCATCCAGCGCTCCCAAATCACCGAGCAGCTGGCCGCCATGCGCCGCAACGAGGACCCCATGGCCGTCGCGGGCGAGTACGGCTCCAAGAACCTCTACCGCATGCTGGGCTACTTCTCCATCATCGGTCTCCTCCGCGTCCACTGCCTCCTCGGCGACTTCAGCCTCGCCCTCAAGACCCTCGACGACATTGAGCTCAACAAGAAGGCCATGTTCGCCCGCGTCATGGCCGCCCACTTCACCACCTACTACTACGTCGGCTTCTCCTACATGATGATGCACCGCTACGCCGACGCCATCAAGATGTTCTCCCACATCCTCGTCTACGTCTCCCGCACAAAGAACTTCCAAAAGAACGCCCAGTACGACTCCATCACCAAGAAGAACGACCAGATGTACGCCCTCATCGCCATCTGCGTCGCCTTCCACCCCACCCGCCTCGACGACACCATCCACTCCGCCCTCCGCGAGAAGTACGGCGACCAGCTCCTCAAGCTCCAGCGCGGCGGCCCCGAGTCCCTCCCCATCTTTGAGGAGCTCTTCCGTTCCGCCTGCCCCAAGTTCATCTCCCCCGTGCCCCCAGACTTTGAGAACCCCGAGTCCAACATCGACCCCGTCGAGCACCACCTCGCCGTCTTCATGGAGGAGGTCAAGATCAACATGATGAGCCCCACCGTCAAGTCCTACCTCCGCCTCTACACCACCATGGACCTCAACAAGCTGGCCGGTTTCCTCGAGGTCAAGCCCGATGAGCTCCGCTCCTGGCTCCTCGTCAACAAGCAGCGCACCAAGCAGTTGCGCTGGACTGACCACCCCAGCCTGCTGGACGGCGACCTCATCAACGTCAGCGACCTGGACTACGCTATGCAGGGTGTAAGTAATTCCGAGAAACTGCAGCTTCCAACACGAGCTGCTTGTTACCATAATAACATGCTAATCACACACATTCTAGGATCTGATCCACATCTCGGAAGCCAAGGTTGGCCGCAAGCTGGTCGACTGGTACCTCCGCAACCTGTCCCGCACGTACGCTTGAGCGATCGTAAAGGATATGCTTCGGGCCCTATAAAACCAGCAAGGCAAGATGGACGACCAGCTGGCCGAGAGGAAGACAAAAGGAAACGGGCTGGTAGCAAACTACCAGGGGGGGGGGGTGTTTGTGTGCATGTTGGTAAAATGGCAATATGCGAATGCGTGTAGTTCCCAGGAATCTGCCAACGAGAGGTGGTGGAAACTCCCACCCTCATCCACTTGACGTTACCTGTGGATTCGAGGTCGGAGGGTGTGACGAGGATGGAAAAAAGACCAAAGGGCAGAGAGAAGTGGCCAAAAAAAGCACTTGGGAAGAAATGGGAGGGCCCGATAGAGGGATGCTCGCATTGTTATGGCGTTCAGGCGTCTTTGCTTCCTGGAACACCTGGACCTGGTTGGCTGGGCGGGATGAAGTGAACCAAGGGGAATAATTAGAATTCAAAGTACAAACGTCCATCCGAAGCTCTTCGAGGCCAGTGTACTCGCGACAGCAGCCCGTGTGCTAACGGATCCAAAGTCGGTAGCAGATGATCTCAATAACATAGTCAAATTACTAGGACTTCTCCCCGTTGAAGGGAGCCAGGTCAGCCAGTGTCGTTGAGATCCGAGCCGCCCAGATCATCGCCCGGTGGTCAAAGGCAGGGTTCCCCAGCAAATAGCAATGACAACAAAAAGAGCTCTTCAGTATGCGCCGATTCTCTTGACAAGTATCGAGACGCTGCGGACATGCAAAGTTGATGATCGTCATTTTCAATGTTTCCCGCGATACGCCTGCAGCGACCTGCCCGCTTCCCCGCTAGGCTTGCGGGAGTCGAACCTGATAGGAAGCTGGACAAGGTGTATGCCAAGGGCAGGTTGTCCGGGGAAGGTTGCAACGTTGCCCGCACAAAACTGGTCGGCGGAAACCACTATCGAGAGGAATCTCTTTGCCGAAGTGGAGTAAATTCTTCGAAACGCGAATGGGGCAGCATCGCATCTCTCACTATAGCACTTGCCTCGGAGGCATGAAACACTCCCCGACGAGCTGTTGAGGGCAGTAGTTGATAACACGGTGCTGACGGAAAGTGAAAAGCATGAGGCGATGAGAAAGTCTCGTAGTTCATAGCATGCATCGAAAACGCGATATGGTCGTTCAATCAAACTGGAGCGACCGATGGATACCCCTCCACTTCCGAGGAAAGGATACCTCAACGATGATGCCCAGATATGATAAAAAGCACTCTGCGAGCCTGCCGGGGAGTATAGTCCAATATAGGTAGTGCCTCCGTACCGAAGCCGCGTCGGTAGACCGGGGAAATTATCGGTCGGGACGGGGACGGGATGGTCCGCAAGGAAACTGGAGCTTGATTCCCGTTTCCCTAGTGGCTGGTAGTCAAGCATGTGCCACCTACTAGAGCTATACGTTTAATCTTGGACGGTGTCTCACGTTATTTCTCCCTAGCTGCCCTAAACTTGTGCTCTTGTGTCTTGGCTGTGTCCTCTGCGAGTCAGATTTCGCCTTGTGTGCGTGCTTGTGCGGGTGTGGGTGCGTGATGCTGGCTGTCCTAGGGTTGCCAAGATTGTTGGGGTCGTACGGATGTGAGTCCGGAGCAGCGAGTAGTTGGGATCACGAGTCGCGCTTGACGTCGTCTTTTTTGGACCGTCCTGTAGCACCCTCCGAACCAGTGACTGGGATACTGGGACAAACGGGCACGAGAACATGGAAGATGAGTGTTTGGAGCTCGGTTATTGCAGGCCGATCGGCATGCATGTCAGTCAGTACGCAGCATTACGTTTGAACTTACGCAAGCAATCGTGGAATTCTGCGTGGGTTTCTGCGATGAGGTTGCCAAAGTGTACGCTCGATGGGCTTGGCCGGCATGAGGCGCTCTGCCTGGTTGGTGTCGGTTGAACGTCAGATAGGGATGCTGCACAACGCAAGCAGGACGCCGTGCTGGACGACATGTTTCATTGCGGCATGCGTGCCGTCGCAAGTCATTGGCATTTGCCGCAGGCAAGCGATCCTGTCAGACCTTACAATCCATCCAATGTAGGTCAATATCGACATGCGACAATGCGGGATATCGAGACGCATCGATAAATTCAGTACATTGAGCTGCCTCTGGCGAGCTGTTGGAAACCTGTTATCTCTCGGAATTTCCGGCTGATTCCTCCGTTGACTGACGGCGATGTCAGCGGGAGCATGCCATGTTTTCGACCTTACTAGATGGTCCATGGTCTCCGTGCCGTGCAACATTGACGAGTTGATATTTGATAGATAGCGAGCGTACACTTTCCCCTGCCTGCCCCGTGGCTTGACATAGTGATTTGGCTGGTCCATCAGCTCGCGCCAGATAGGGCACCTTGCCCGTCTGCTTCGGTGAGACTGCAGGTTGCATATGGCGATTCCTGTTTTAGCGGGGACCATGTCGGTGAGAAGTGGTATGGATACATGAACAAGAGCGGAGAGGCTATCGATCTCAAGGCCAAACCGCAAAAGCAACACCGGAAGATCGGGACGGAATTCTGGGCGGGAGAATGGGCTGCGAATGGCATCATTGCAGCCTGCAATGGGTGCCGAATGGCGTGGAAAGGCAAAATAGTGGACGTTGTCTTCGTTTCGCCTTGGCATGGGCTCCCTCTTTTCCCGACCGCTTGTGCCTGCCGGCTTGGTGTCTTGGGAGTGCATCCCCTTTTGTTCTCTATGTCCTTCGTCGTTGTCTCGTCTGCAGCGTGTATCCGCAGTGTGGTCTAGCTGACCCCTCAAATTGTATCCCTGCGACCTAGACGGCTTCCTGCGACATTGATGGGTACTGGCCAAGAGATTTGAGCGCCGAAAGAGAGGTTACGGGAATGAGCCGCTGTCCCCATTTCCAATACGGGATCGAGCCAGGCGTCGGACTAATAATTTGGGCTGTCTTACAAACGTGAAAGAGAAACGAAAGGGTTGCGGAAGAAAGGCAAAGAGATACGCTTGGCTTGGCTCTCGCTTGGCGTCTGGTTGGGCACGAAGTGTGGATTGAATTGGATGGGTCGAATCATTGTAAAGTCGCGGACCGGGGCCCAGAGACGAAGCATGCCATCTCATTAACGAGAAGAAATGAGAAGAAGCAAGGTTCGCAGGCGAGTTAGCAGCTTTGAGCGGCGCGCGCACACCGACTCGAATGCTTGTTCTGATTCTCTTCTTTCGCTTTTGCCAGGAATCGGGGGAATAATCAAGATTGGCCGACGTGCCTTAGTGGTTTGCCAAGAGCTTGTTGGAGGTGGACGAGTGGCCGAGAGGGCGGGAGAGAGGGGTGAAGTTGCAAAGAGTCGAGTGAAGGCGGCGAAGGCTACAGTCTTAGCACACGGAGGGCCGGCTGGGCAGACGTGAGAGTGCATCGACAACGATGAAGGAAGCGTATGATTCTTGGTTCCGTTGCTTGGTGTGAACCCAACCCGTATGCGACGGGGTATCTGCAGACTGAGCTTGGAGGATGTTGCCGCCGGAGCTGATAGAGGATTGATGAGCACCCTTGGGAACTACCGCCAGATGCGTTAGATAGCTTGGCGCAGTACCTTCAGCTATCGCCTGGCGCCATCCACGTTGGTGGGATTTCTGGACTTTTAGAGGGTTGTGACACGGAGGCGTGGTATGATATGAACATGACGGAGGCAACGATGAGCTTTGCGTATGGAGTAGTGAGTACAGTCGTAGACTTCGTCTCCGAAAATTGCTCCCTGATCCCTAGGCCAGGCACCGCAGGGGATCGAGACGTAGGTAGGTGGTGCTGGTCGAATAAGAAGTCTCCAAGTACCCAGGAAAGAAGTCTAAAGGTAAATTGGACTTTCTATCCGACTACAGCACGTCAAAATGTTTGGGTAGGACTATCATGGTGCTTGGAAAGTCTAGACGGAGATGATGCACACCCACCGGCTGCGTGCGAGGGGAAAGGCCATGTCGTGTTACTGCAGGTCATTACAGCGACGGACGGGCAGACGGCGAGCGAGCCAGCGAGCAGTAATGTGGCAAGAGAGCGCAAACAGCGGCGGCGGCCAGTTCGTCTGTTCAAGATGGGATACCCGTAAAGGCGAGTCATCCAGAGTCTGTCTCGTTGTGTTTGTGCTGGACGGTATTGGAGGGAGAGTCTCTGGTGGATAGGGACTACTGTACAGAGTAAGCCGTAGTGACTTGCCTTGGGAGCCAGGGAGCCTACTGTGTAAGAGTCAAGACAGCCAGCAGGGGTGGGCGTTACGGCGGGTGCTTGGAAAGGGGAGCCGAGAAGCTTGAAAGCGAAGCTGGAAGTCTTGATGTGTAATTAGAGCCAGCTCAGGCATTAGAGGCGCCGTGAAGCGGAGAGGATGATTGGGTTCGGTACTTGGGGTAGTCTTGGCGAGTTTGGGGTGGTGTTCCCAGTGTTATTTTGGGTCCGGTGGTGCTGGTGCTGGTGCTTGTGTAGGTGCTGGAAGACGGCGTGATAGGAAATTTCGGAGGCCGCGGTCTTGAGGCTGTCGTATTCCGTCCAAGGCATCTGTAGCCTGTCGTGGGGATGTGAACTTCGCCGTCTGATTACGAAGCGAAGAAATCGTCACAGGCCTGATGGTTGAAGAAGAAGAGCAAGTTCAATATGCATTACTAAGGCAAGGTATTAAGGCTTGCGATGATGCGAATAAGGAAAAAGGCATACACTTTGTCACTTTGGCACTTTCCTACTATTCAAGACTCAGCCTGGGGAACCTGGCAACTGGGAAGGAACAAGATGCACCGGGGGCTCTTTCCAAGATGGATGGAAGCTGCAACCCATCGAGTTGACATCAGGTGCAGCAAGTGCAGCTGGTGCAGCGCTGATGCAGCTGGTGCCTGTGGGTGACCCTAGCTCCTGCACTCTCCTTTTCCGAGGAAGGTTCAGCTGAGTGAGATAGGCATGCCGAGGAAGTCACGTCTCTGCCTTCCATCTTTCCCATTCATCCAAAGTACCTTTCTTCCTGCCTTACATGTCTAAAGGTAGGTACCTACGTCCATCAGCGGCGTCCATTCTGTCAATCGGATCAAATCAACCTTCCATTGTAACTCAAGTACCTCAATACCTTATGTATAGATCTTCTCGGGTCAGATAGGTAGGAGCAACCTGGAAGGTAGGCACCTTACGGATACTGAGGTAGTAAACGTCAAAGGAAGGAAGACGTTGACCGTAATTGTGAGAGTGGGAGGAGAGGGGTACATAACCCACCGGCAAATCTCGGTGTACACACAAGTCGCGACTCTCTCTGGGCCTGGCCAACGGCATCAAACAAACTCGAAATCTCCAGCCATCTCATCCCTGCGCACTTGCACCGCATTGCACCAGCTTCCCGAGCCCCTCTCCTCCCCTCCTCCACCTTTCCGTCCAGCTGTACTCCGTAGGCTCGTAGCTGTGGGTGTGAAAGCAGAAAGACTCAGATTCGACTCGAGTGCCTCTCCTCTCCGCCTGAGGTGTGCGCATTTACCTGGCCCACCGTCCACCATCTCAACCGCGAAAGAGAACCCCCAGCCGAGACGACCCTGGCCGACCAGGGTATCAACCATCGCCAACCCCTGTTTTTGGTGCCCGTTGCTGCTCTTCTCCCTCCAAAACTCTCACTGGAGCTGTGCGTCACGCCGTCACCCTCTCGAGAATTTGCACAAGCTCGAGAGCGACCTTGCCAGGACGAAGAGAGGAACACGGAAGAACAGAGCAAACACGACAAGCGGAGCGTCTCGCATCCAGGCCCAGACCGTACTTAGACCACTCCAGTCCTCCACAACCTCGAGCCTCCTTCTTCTACCTTGCTCTACTCTCCGAATTGCTGCTACGAATATCGACAGAGTACTCCGTACCGATACAGTCTGTTTGTTCCACCACAACCCACGCATGCCCAGACTTTTCCAACCCCATTCCTGAGCTTCTTTTCGAGCTGCATTGTCTCATCCTCTGCCCATTCCACGCCAGTCTCGGTCTCAAGGATATACTTTGTCCACCCCCGCATCCAGCCGCCTGGACTGCAACGGGTCTACCAACTTCTCACGGATGCCTTACCGTTAGGTAGCTCTCTACCTACCTACTCGAGTCACCTCAAGCCCATCGTCGTGTCCAAAGAGTCAGAGACCGAGATAAAGTCCTTCCTCGGCTTTCCCTCTACTGCTACCACCCGCTAGCCAAGCTCTCAGCTCTGTTGCCCCGGCCGCTTTCCCGCCCCGTTTCCCACACACCTGAGCGGCACCAGGAACAGCTGTCATCCTGGTCAACTAACAACATCACCTGCTCACCGACCCGGTCTGTCCTCACTTAGACTCTAGACCCTCGACCCTCGACTCGTACCGGTCGCGCTACCGTCTACGCCACACCCCGTTCTTCGGCTTCCCATCCAACAACAACACCATCCTCGCGCTTCCCTGTGCCTTGTGAGGCCCCGCAGGTCTTGGCGGAACTGCCTCCTACGCTGTGCTTCCTCGCCATAAGAGAGGGCTCCGTCTCTTCAAAGACCGCGGCGTGCGGCTGCAAACATAACTTCCTTGGCATTGTTGGACACACATATCGTCTTATCGGAACAGCTTTTTCGTCAATCCCCTTTTTACTTTCAGGAACAACCGATGAAGAAACATACAAACCTCAAACAACTCAACTAAGCATCATACGTACCCAGAGCCGAGTCCTGTCGTGAACAAGAGCTCATCCAATTTCCATCGATAAGGTCACCCTCACCACTTACGCATACCTACCTACCTCTCCACGCATATTCGACGACGAGACGCTCTGACCTGACTGTCACCGTTCGACCTCCACGTTCCAACTATCAGTCGACAGACGCTCCTTTCCATTTTCAAACGCTGTGGTCAGTCCACCATCAGCCACTCACCTCGGCGCAAATTACCTTCTGATCTTCTACACGTTGCCCTTTTGTCCCTTCCAAGACAGGCTCGTTGCACATATCCCTCCGAGGCTTTGAGCGACTCTGTTCAACCCAGCGCATCTGCCCGATTCCTCCCCACCGGGACGACTGCTTTGCCGCTGCGCTCATGCTGACATTGATTACACAGCAGCTGTACAGTCTTCAATGAAACCATCAGAAAATTGGCGTAGCGTATTCTTGCTTCCGCAAAGCACCAAAAAGAAAAAGAAGAATAGCAAAGGCAACTCCTCACCATCTTCACCGAGACTTCACTTTCCAGAACTCCAGTGGGAGCCCAAGACAACGACGACGACGCCGGCACCGACGACGCCGGCAGAACGGCGGCACACCATGTCTGGGCCAACCCCCCGTTCGATGCTCAACGTCCAAAGCCCCGATTCCGATGTCTCGCCCAAAACTCCGATACAACCCTCTGACCAAACAAAGACGGACTACTTCTCCATTGAGTCTTCGTCGCAGGCGCAGTCGCAAAAGAAAGACGAGGAAACCAGGGCCAACGATGCAGAGCCATTGAGCCGTGCGACCACACTTTCTAGCTTCGCAAGCCCTTCCCCCCTCGAAAGCGCAACAGGAAGCTTCTCTGCCGAGTCGTCACGGACCGAATCGTATGGAGGAAGGCCGAGAGGATCATCAATAGCGTCGCTGAGCTTTGCACCATTGCGGAACCCGTCGCTGCCGCAGGGCAACCAGAAGAAGACGAACAAGGAGCGTATCAGGGCCTCATCGCCTCCACCTGAGAGGTAAGCGTATCACTTCCCGTTCCTATCGTTTAGCCATTTCTTTGCCGCCATATTCGTGACCCCTTTACAACCAAGTGTTTGCAAGTGGCAGCTTTGGTCGTGACGCTTTTTGGTTCGGTGTCTGTATCCGATGTCGTGGAGCTGGACAGATAACATCTGGGTCAACTCGACGTAAGTACGTCGGTGGCAGATGCAGTTGGGCCAGATGCAGTGTGGCTTCGGGGCCACCTTATATGCTGCCGTTGGTTTCGCCTTACATGCGTGGATTCTGCAGTCCTCCACTAGGCCGGAAGCCTCGGATCAAGAGTTCAATACGACGGCCACCTTCTCCGCAGCCATGCCGCAGTTCCGGTCGCTTCGCTCGCCCGTGGATGAACGATTCGTCGGCCGCAGCCGTCTTGGTCTCCACTCCGTTTCTCAGCTTCCGTCCCAGATACTCCCTGCGCCTAGAAGGCATGGGCATTGCCGTCGCTACTGAGGAAGCCTCCTCCGGGCGCCGACTCCAGGATCGGGATGGCGGGGTCGGACCAGTCGGCCAGCGGCGGCCTCGTGCCTGTTATGGCACCCCATATTTTCCAGTTTTCGAGTAATCCCGCCGGCATCACTACAATGAGCAAGTACTGTCACCAACAGGCATCCCCTGAGCATTTCAACCTTGAGGTCAGACGAACTTTTCAAGCGTCTCGCGGCAACTCCAGCAAACGCATCTGTTTTTTACTCTGAGTCCATGTCGCGTTGCGGTCCATATCTTGCCTCACTCATCGGGCTGCAATATGCCATCAGGAGGATCACACGACACCTCATTGAAAGCGACCTTGCCGGTTCTGGATGACGCATTGGTTACTGTTATTCGCTAGAGTCACTCGTCTTTGCCCCACTACCCCGCTGTAGCGCCTGTAGCTGTTTCTTTACGGTGTTCTTGGGTTCACAAAGAGAAGGGGAAATGGCGGAGGTGGGCGCTCATCGACTCATCCTCCACAGCCACCCTTAGCCTGGCGCAACCGTGACGTCCCCCGCAGGAGGACCTGACAGGAGGGAAAGCAGCTGTCATTGTCGCATTTCCGCCCAGTCCTTGTCCTGGATCCCGGCTGCCTCTTACCAAATCGCGACCTCTCGACCCTTTTTCATTTCCACCCCTCTTGACTCTGGCCAGTGGTCTCGTCGCTTTTCCACACTTCATCATCCCCAGATCTCAACGTTTTCTTAGCACACTTCATCTCATCCGCCTTTTTGCGTCTTTTCGTTTGCCAATTGCTCGGAACAACGTTACCTAATGGCGACACTAACTCAACCCTCTTTGCCTGACAGGTTCCAGTCACATGTCGCATTCGACAACCTTCCTTTGGGCGAGGCGACTAAGAACAACACGCTTTCGCTGACGTTGAATGTCCGTCACCGGGGGTACCAAGCGCAACGACGATCGCGCACCTTCATGGTCGGCGTCGATGAGCATGCTTACTCCGACTATGCGTTGCAGTGGCTACTCGACGAGCTAGTCGACGACGGAGATGAGGTTGTCTGTGTGCGCGTTATTGAGAAGGAGCTACGAGCCGCCGAAACGAACAAAATATACCAGGAAGAGGCGAAGAAGGTCATGGATGGCATCCTGAAGCGCAACGGCCTGAACCGAGCCATCAGTATTGTACTGGAGTACGCGAGTGGAAAACTCCATGCGACATTCCAGCGACTGGTGAGTAGAAAGATGTGACGCGGCAGTCTTGGCGCACGGCAGTGGAGTAGGCGCTAATTATTATCATGTCCCAGATCCAAATTCACCAGCCTGCAATGCTCATCGTTGGCACGAGGGGCCGGTCGCTCGGTGGCCTCCAAGGCCTGGTCAATACGCGCAATTCCTTTTCGAAGTACTGTTTGCAGTACTCGCCTGTTCCTGTTGTCGTCGTCCGCCCGACGGAGAAGCGGGAGAAGAAGAAGAATAAGAGAAAGAACGATACGGAACGGCAGACATATGTCAGGATGCTGTCAGCGACAGGCGGAAAACACGAGGCCGACAGCGAGAGAAGCAGCATGTATGAAGTGGAAGTTCACAACACGGCGGACGAAGAGGCACATCAAGTCGCCAAAGCGCTAGGATTGCCTGCGGCATTTGACCCAACTATCAAGCCAGTCGACCTCAATGCTCTTCTGCATCCGAGACACCAATCAGCGCCATCCAATCTCGCACAAACGAGTAGCGCGGGCACGGGTAGATCATCCGCCCCGCCTAGTGCAGCGGGCGACAGCGATGAGGAAGATGACGATGATGAGGACGAGTTCGAGACGTTCTCTGGCGACCAGCTTATCAACTCGTCGCAGATGGACAAGCTCCACAAGATGGAGGCCAACGAGGCGGCAGCCCTCAAGCAACGAAAGTCGAGTTTGGACTCTAGCGCCAGTGGAGTAGATGATGACGAAGACGAGGAGTCCAAAGCCTCGCGACACAGCAGCAACAGCTGATACAGCAGCCCCATGGCTTCGAATGGAGAGGCAGGTAGGGTCACGAACTAGCATGTGTGGGATTAGACGGCGTTTGGTCGATAGCGTGGGCATTTTCAGTTTGCTGGGACGACATATCCCGTAGTTGTGGTGTGTGTGCGGAGACGAAGGGAAGTGTCAAGGGAGGATTGTCTAGGTAGTCGGCGTAGTTGTTAAAACCTCCTGCTCTGCATGGAGCCCGTGGATTGATACCCATAAGAGACTGAAATGATGAAAACTGGCCGAAATTCTATTGCGTTATCCGTACAGCTTCTGGTGGCGTGACGTACATCTTTTTGTGACAGCGTCTGTTGTTCATGGGGCTGTTGAGTCTTGAGTGAGTCTTTGCCTGGTGTCCATTGGCCGCTCCGTCGCATCTTGCGGGGCTGCTCTTGACGAAGGTGGGCGAGTTCCAATGTTCCAGACTTCTGAGGTTCCAAAGTTAACCAGGAGGTACAAAGTGTGGCGCAAGGATATGTGGCTGAAGCTCAAATAAAAAAAAGTCGCCGGAGCTTCAGAGTGGAGAGCTGAGGCCAGGTTGTCGTGTGGCTGAGGCCCCCCCCCCCCCCCCAAGTCCGACACAAAGGTTACGAATCCAACGTCGCCCTTATTTTCTCATCACAGCCGTCGCACTGTAACGGTTGTCCGAAGCCAGCCAACGCATACCAAACAATGTCGAAGACAGCCATGCTAATTCCTCGCTAAGGACACCAGTCTGTTTTCTTCTCTGCCACACCTGCTTTCATCCTACTCAACAATCGAGAAGCAGACATAGGATGAATCTTGCTCTGCTCGGCTACGGATACATATCGCACATGTCCCTTTGCTCGCGCGCAAACGCAGACGACGCCCCACTACCGACGATACCACCACCATCACCACCAACAAGATGCCCTGGTTCTGGTCCACCGCCTCCTGCGACGAGTCCGCTTGCGCCGCCGTAGACCCCAATGCACCGTCGACCGTCGGCCTGCTCTTCTCGCTGCTGCCCTTCCTCCTCACCTTCGCCGCCGTCGCCGTCTTCGCGAGCCAGACCATCTTCCCCAAACTCGCCAGGGTCCACGACGCCCACGATGGGGAAGACCACTACCTCCCCTCCCACGCCCCGCCGAGCCTGCGTCAGGCCCACGCCGAACACGGACAAAAGAGCGCGCGGCGGCGCGTCGCGGCCGCTGTGTTTAGTGTTACGATTGCGCTGGCGACGGTGCTGGGCGAGTTGATACTGAGCGAGATTTCGGATTTGGTGAGCAGGCGCGCGAGGGAGGTCGGGTTGAGGGTTACGGTGCCGACGTTGCTTGTGCTGCTTGTGGGTGTTATTCCGTTTCTCGAGATCCAGAGCGTGGTCTCGGGCGCCGGGTGGAAGTTTCAGCGGAATAATAAGGGGAGGATACCGAGGTTCGCGTGGGCTGTGCAGATGCTCGTTTTCGGGGGGTGGGTGTTTGCGTTTTGGAGCTTGGGCGGGTTGGTTGGGCTTGATAAGACGGCGACGGCGGGCGGCGGGGTGCTGCGCGCTTGTCTGGAGAGGATCGGCGTTATCGGGATCTCGCTGATGGCGATGCTGAGCGGGTTCGCGGCGGTGTCGAGCCCGTGGCATACCCTCGGCGCGGTGTCGGAACGGAGAAAGAGGCCCGTTACGGAGGCGGATGTTTCGAGAAAGGAGGCCGGGCTGGATGCCACCAATGAGATGCTCCTCACGAAACGACACCGGCTTCAGGCGCTGGAGCGGAAGGCGGCCGAGGCGCAGTCGGGCGGGTCTTCGAGTTCGGGGGCCGGCGGCGGCGGGTTCATGGGCAAGATGCTCGGCGCCGTGAGGGGCATGGGCGGCGGCGACGAGGCCGAGATGCGCGCCCTGCGGCTGGAGATTACGGGCCTCGAGACGATGGAGGCGAACTTGCATTCCTCGCTGGGGGTGATGCGCTCGCGCCGGGCAGCGGACGCGCGCGCGGCGACGACGATTGGGAAAGTGCTCGCCGTCCCGCACTACGTCTTTTCGCTGTACTGCCTCTACCGCATCCTGGCGACGACGCTGGCGACGCTGCGGAGGGCGTATTACCCTTCTTCGAGCTTCAGCTCCTCGGACCCGATCAACCGGTTCCTCGGCCTGCTGGCGCGGCACTGGGACCCTTCGCTGGACCAGATTGCATGGGCGCGGCAGATTAGTTTCCTGTTGTCGGGTGTCATGCTCGCGGCGAGCGCCAACAGCGTGCTGCAGACGTTCCACCTGTTCTCCAAGTGGATGCCGGGGTTGCTGTACCAGGCGCAGGCGAACTTGGCGCTCATGATTGGGCAGATCACGGCCGTGTATGTGATTTCGGCGGCGCTGTTGTTGAGGAGCAATTTGCCGCGGGAGATGGGCAGCGCGGTGGGGGATGCGTTGGCGGGCGCGCTGGAGCCGCGGTTTGTGGATTGGTGGTTTGAGGGGTGGTTTTTGGCGAGTTGTGGTGTTACTGGGCTGGGGGTGTGGATTTCGAGGAGGATCGGGAGGGAGGAGTGGGATGAGTTTGGGGCGGAGGAGATGGGTGCCAAGAGGATGTAGGGACGACGGTCTGAAGGTCTGAGGTTGTCTGCCGCTCTAGGTATACCCAGGAATGGGAGGGATGGAGGAAGAGAAGCAGTTGGTATGACTATGAGATATGTTTTGATATTGGGGTGTCTTGACTACGATGAGGAGTTTTGGGCGTGTATTATTATACCTACGGGTTGGGATGTACTAGGACCTTGTACAATCATGATTTCTTCACCTTGATCATTTACCATACACAAGAAGATGCGCTGATGCTTTGCGGGGGGGCTTTAAACTTGTGATGATGTGGGGGTAAAGGAGAGGCTGAAAGATATGAAACAGGCGAGTAGATGGATATACACCTTTGGGTGTGTACGCTATGATACGAGGACAAGTCTCCAGAAACTTGCTCACAAATCTCGCTTGTGTGATCGTGGAAAGAGGATCAGACATCATCTCAGAAAGTAAGAAAGCAAAATATGAGAAAAAGAATGGACCGATCGAGGGTTCGAACATGGACCCCGAAATAGATGGGAGTCTTCACCATGTAACCGGGGCCTCTACAGCCCTACCCCTCGACCAAGTGGTCCGGTGTTTGTTGTTGAATCATGAGGACATGAGGTCATGAATAAAGGCTAGAGGATGATTCGATCTGATATTGGGTTAGGTATGTAAGGTGAGTGCTCAGAAGTACGCACACGAATATATTTTCAAACGACCTCGGTATATACCACAAAACCTCAGCTGTATACCTTAGCTACTCCTTTTCGCTATTCTCCTTCCATCTCAAAGACTCCCCCCATCATACCCCCATATCCCTCCTCCAAGCAGCCTTCACCTCGTCCACCATACCCTCCTTGGTCAAAACCTCAACCGCAACACCAGCCAGCCCCTTTCCAACGCGCAAACTCCTCTCAAACGCAACCTTCGTCCCCGCCGCCTCCGCAAACTCTGGGTTATGCGGGCCCTGACCTCCCTTCCCAGGCGGAATCGCGAAGCCGACGCTGAGGGAGGGCATGGCGTAGCTGATATCCCCCTGATCCGTACTCGCCATCGTCCGCCCGCGAATCTCATCCACGTCTTCGTCCGTCGGGATCGGAGCGTCGTTGTCACCGTCTCCGTCGCCGCCAGAGCCCAGTAACGCGTTGAAGTATCGCGTATACGAACGCCCCAGCACACGATTCGGCACATGGTCTTTATACGCCCCCGTAAACGTAACTTTGAACGTCGCCCCCGTGGCCTCCGCCCCCGCAGCGAAGCATTTCTGCACCTTTTTCAAAAGCTCGGAGAGCCGCGGCTGCGTATCCGACCTCACCACGAAATTCGCCGCCGCGTACGCGTGGATGATGTTTGGCCGCGCGCCGCCGTCGGAGATGTTACACTGGATCACGTCCCCCGGCCTCGTCTGCTGTCTCAGCACAGAAATCGAGGTATACGCCACAACCAGCGCGTCGAGCGCGTTGATGCCGAGCCACGGGTTCGCTGCGGCGTGGGCCTCGCGGCCGAAATATTCGAGGCGGAGGGAGGTGTAGGCCGAGGTGCGCATCAGGGCCGTGGAGGTGACGATGCCAGGGTGGGAGATGAGGTTGATGTCTGGTGCGCGGGAGGGGGAGCCGGTGCCGGGACAGGTGGAGGGGTTGTAGGCGCCGGCTTTGAGGAGGGCGATTTTGCCGCCGCCGCCTTCCTCTGCGGGGGTGCCGTAGAGGATGAGTTTGCCGGGGAGGGCGTGGCGGGCGAGGAGGGTTGAGGTTGCGAGGGCTCCTGTTAGGGAGGCTGTTGCTATTAGGTTGTGGCCGCAGGCGTGGCCTATTCCTGGGAGGCAGTCTGTTGGGAGGTGTTAGTTAGGGAGCAGGAGAAGGAGGAGGAGAGGGGGAGAGGTCTTACCCATCTCGACATTAAACGACACAACTGGTCCCTTCTTTCCGCTTTCCCAGACGGCAACCCAGGCGGTTTTCATGCCGTAGGCTGAGGGGGTGACTTTCCATCCTGGCTGGGTGCGCATAAAGGCCACTAGGGTGTCGTGGGCAATGAACTCGCGGTAGCCGAGTTCCGGGTTATCGTGGATGGTTTTGTTGACGGGCCATAGTGCGTCGGCGAGGTCTGTTACGATGGAGGAGATTTCATCGAGGAAAGGCGGTGGTGGTGGTGATGACGAGGAGGATGGGGAGGATGAGGCTGGGGCTAATGAGCAAGGTGAGGTTGAGGTGCATGTGGGGTGGGTGTCTGCGTGGGAGACGAGAACGAAGTCGTCTTCTGATGAATCCATTTTGAAAGAGTTGATGTGAGTTTCACTGTAGCTGATGAGTATGAGGTCGATCAAGCCGGTGATTGAAGTGCCCCTTGATTGGGGTGAGAGGCGTCGTAGTTGGGTTGAGCCTGCACTGTTCCTGATGGGAGTGAGGTAGGTGAGTGAGTGAGTTCCGGCGAGAGGAGGTTGCGTAGTGAGGGCCGTCTGAAGAGACGGTTCCGAACGGCGGCGTGTCTCCGACCACCGGCCGGGTTTCGATTGATGTTATCTGTACCGAGGCCGCGGATGCCATGCGATGCAAGTTGCCTATTCCAGCTAGCGTATTCGCTGTGTTATGCTTGTCTGGAAGCTGGTCGTTCATAAATCAACGCATTTCACAGTACTTCAGAACAGGTAAGGGACAAGAGGAGAACGAATACGCTCATGTATCGAAGCTATTGCGAGGTACATGAAATCTCGCTCAAATATAGGTGTCTTGGTGTTTCTAATGTACTTGGTGAACTCTGCTTGATTGCATGTCTCAGACGGTCGCGCGACGCCACGGTCGCTTGGTTCTTTGTTATGACTTTGCTTCAGAGAAGCTCATAATAAGACGAGTTTGCTTCCATTAAGTATTGGCAGTTCCGATGCCTCCATCTTAAAGCCCCGAAATTCTCAAACCTCTTTTCAACCGGAATGAGTGCGCAGTTTCCTGCTGACCGCAGAGTTCTTCAACCCACTTCCATGAAACCCAGCAACCTAACCCGGCATCTCTTCATCCCCTGAATCAAGAATCATCTCTGGCCAGTCAACGTCCGTATCATCCTAATCAATTTCGCCGACGTCTCGATCCAGTGCGTGAGCAGGAACGGGGTGATGTAGAAGATTAGGGCGACAAATATGAGGCGGCGCGCCCAAGGAGGGGGCATGAGAAGCGCTAGTATCCTCTCCGCCGGCGATGTTTCCGCGACCTGCGCCTGCTGCGAGGTCTGCGAGGTTTGCGATGCCTCATCTACTTGCGCTCCTGCGGCGGGCGAGGCGACTGGCGTTGACTTTTGCTTGGCCATTTTGGTTGTGGTTGGGGTCTGAGAGAGGTGGTTAGATAGACTCGAAGATCGACCTGCTTGAGCGATGCTAGGGTACACTCACCTTTCTTCGTGAGATTGGATGAATGGGTGATGCGCTCGCTGATCCGCAAACGTGAATGAATTTGGATGAAGACGACGATAAAGACACGCGGTCCTCTTGAGATGAGGCTGACAAGACCAACCGTCTTGCCAAGGCGCTTGGCCGTCTAACGCCTCATGGCTCACCAGTGATGGTCTTTTGGGAGCTTCCTCATTTGGTCTGTTGGGAGGGATTATGCATCGTTGTGCAAACTGGCATGGTGCGCCGGGTAAAGGCGGCGACTGCTTGGAGTCTGGAAGTGGAGGACCGGCTGTTCCCCGCAGGAGATAGCTACCCGTTGGCCGGACCCATGTTCTTATCGACCCGGTGTTATCGGCTGTCTTGGTCCCGTAGTGTGCGCCGGTTGCGCTTTGGATACTCCGTATGGAGAGGTTCAAGTTTTCCGAGGGAAGAAAGCATTACGACCACAAATCAGACACGGACGAAAGGCCGTTGGGAAAAGACGAGCATCTCGCATCTTAAGGTGTATTTCGTAGGGCATACGTTATTAAGTGAGTCTTTTCCAGCAAGGTGGCGAACCAGTGTTCCACTCGAAAGAGTTGAGTTCACATTGGGGCTCAAGCTGCAAAGGGGCGATCAAAGTCCGACGAGACCTTATCCATGTCAGCAGATACATGAACCATTCTGCAACCATTCTGCCGCTGGCATCACACTACGTGAAGGTGAGGGGCTGGCGAGTGGAAGAAATCACCCAAGCGAGATAAGACCATTGGAAAAAATAACATGGAATTGCCGATTGTCGGATCTACCCCGATGAACAGGACCCACACGCTCCAATGACTCCAGCCCGCGGCCTTCGTTCAACGTTCCATTGATAAAAGAAGTCGTGGGCTCCCAAGAACCTCAAAAAGGAGGAGAAAGCTCTTTTTTCCGGATCCTCGTGCCAATACACTATACGACCCAGGAACCTGGGACTCGGTAAACCCACAAGTTCTCTCTAGTCCCTGACAAACTCCCCCTCCTCCTTACAGTGTAAGGCACTCCGCAATGGCACCCACCGAAACCCCGGGCTCCGACCCGGAGAAGCGGGTCCTCGCGGATATCGTCCCCGCCACCACCGGCCCCCTAGATGAAGACGCCATCCCCTCAAAGCACCACATCACCGACGAAACCGGCGCCCTCGCCGCCTCAGCCCTCGACTCCGCGCCCCTCGACGCCGCCGAGTCCCGCTCCATCCTCGCCAAGCTCGACAGGCGCATCCTCCCCTTCCTCTGCATCACCTACGCCCTGCAGTTCATCGACAAGACTTCTTTGGGGTACAGCTCCGTCTACGGCATCATCAAGGACAACAAGCTCGTCGGGCAGCAGTACAGCTGGGCCAGCTCCATCTTTTACTTTGGGTATCTTGTCGCGGAGTACCCCGGCGTCGCCATCCTCCAACGGTTCCCCGTCGCCAAGTTCCTGGGCGTGAATATCGTCCTCTGGGGTATGATTCTCATGACCACTGCGGCGTGTAGTTCCTTTGCGGGGCTGGCGTCGGTTCGGTTCCTGCTGGGTGTCACGGAGGCGACCATATCGCCTGGCTTCGTGGCCGTCACGGGAATGTGGTGGACGAGACAGGAGCAGGCCGGCCGCTCGGCGCTGTGGGTTTCGTTCCTGGGCGTCGGAAGCTTTGTGGGCACGTTGCTCGCGTACGGCATCGGGCACATCACGGGCTCGCTGTCGCCGTGGAAGTACATCTTCCTGATCCTGGGCGCCATGACCGTCGTCTGGGGCGTCGTGTTTACGATTTTCGTGCCGGACGGGCCCGCGAAGGTGACGTGGCTGACGGAGAGGGAGAAGGTCGTTGCTGTGCAGCGCGTGGCGGAGAATCAGACTGGTACGGGACGGAGCAGGACGTTTGTCAAGGCGCAGGTCATTGAAGCGGCGCAAGACCCGGCGGTGATTATTTTGGGGCTAATTTCGTTTGTGAATGCGATTGCTTCGGGAGGGTTGGCGTTTGGGTCGTTGATTATTCAGGGGCTTGGATTCAGTCCCCTCAACACGACGCTTATGAACCTGCCGCTTTCTACCGTGCAGGTTGTCACGCAGCTTGGAGCCGGGTTTTTGAGCAGCAAGATTAAGAGTTCGAGACTGCACGTCGGCACCGTTGCCATGATCCCTCCGGTATGCTGTGGCCGGTCCCACTGGTTGATATTTCGCTGACTTTTGAACCAGATCATCGGAACCTGCCTCATCAACCAGCTCCACGCAGACAACAAATGGGGCCGCCTCGTCGGCGTCTGGCTACTTGGCTCCTACCCCGTCGGCTTCATGGTCATCCTCGGCCTGCTCTCGACCAATATCGCCGGCAGCACGAAGAGATCTGTTGCCTCGGGCTGGGTCTTTGTGTGCTACTGCGTCGGGCAGATTGCCGGCCCGCAGTTCTTCAAGAGCACCGAGGCACCCGCGTACCACAGCGGCATCGTGGCCATGCTGTGCGGGTTTATTCTCAACCTAGTCCTGAACCAGATTCTGCGCTTCATCTATGTGTTGGAGAATAAGAAGCGTGATCGGATGCTGGAGGGTAAGTCTGAGGAGGAGGTCAAGGAGATGCAGAGAGAGGGCGAGGTGCTTGGGTTCGAAGACGTGACGGATAAAGCTAATGTGAGTATGCCTGGTGATTGGATCGATTGCTGAGTGACTTGCTAACTAAGCGTAGCCCATGTTCCGATATGTTCTTTGAATAGGGACGAACAACTAGGCATTAGTGATTGAGGGGATCCCATGTTGAAGTGACGCACAAGGAGACTGCTCGGTGTGATTCATGAGTATTGAAGCTGAGTTTGTCGTAGTCTAATGTCAAAGTCTTCTTGTTTAAATCTTCTGAACGAATTCCATACGGAGAGACTTCTCTGGTACTACTGCGCCCCTCTACCACTTCAACCCAAACTACCAGGGTTAAGAATCTTCCAGTCCGGATGCCGGTAATCCTCTCTCGACTCGTCAAACGGCCCAATGTGAGGCTTCACCAACTCAAACAGCACTCTATATCCTTCACCCCCCAAATGCAGCCCATCCGGCACCAAAACCTCCAGCCCACCCCGCTCACCTCCGGGGCTCCCAAGTGGGAGACTACTCCGACTAAACCCGATCGTCATCTGCTCAGCCCGCCGCATGACGGCGCCGTAGAGGTCGATCGGCACGACGCCGGGCACCTCGGATGCCACGGCGAGCGCCGCGTCCGAGTACGTCTTGCTCACGGCCGCGTTGCGCGACGCCTGGCCGTGGCCCTTTTCGAGATCGCGTTCGAGCATGCGGATCTCGTCGAGGGGAGGGGGGTTCACGAGCAGGATGTTGGGGCTGTGAGCTTGGATGGTGGGGTGGGTGAGGATGGCTTTGAGGTTTTGTTTGTATTGGTCTAGGGCTATTTGCTGGCTGTTTGTGGGGATTGGGAGGCAGGCGTCGTTGGCGCCGAGGAGGATTAGCTGAAAAAAATTAATATCGCTGATGGAGATGTCTGGGAGGCTCAAGGACTGTTTTGACGCACGATGTAGTCTATCTTAGGCGTTGTTGTCGAAGGTGGTGGGAAGAGGTATGGGAGAATTTCTAGAGCGTTGGCCGTGTTGTAGCCTGAGAAGCCTCTATTGATGACATCGAGACGCCTCATACAGACTGCTCGTTGTTTATTTCAGCATTGGACTGCCCGCCAGCTTGAAAATGGATGATGAAAGGCCATCTTACGGTCTTGAAGGGCAGCCTGAAAGGAGAAGCCATCTTGAGGCGTGCAGGACAATTGGAAGAGTGAATCTCCAAAAAGGACGACTTGATTGTAAAGCTGTGTGAGTGAGGCTATGTTAGCATTGCGGGGGCTGGTCGTGAAAGATGAGCATTGTAGTGAGGACTCGCCGGCATATTGGGGTGCTCAGAGCCGGTAGACGGAATCAGCTGTTGAGAGGGAGTGAACAATCACAGATATCAGCCTTTGTGAGGCTATCGTCACTTGAAGCAGACGCTGACCTTGGATGAGGAGGTGAAGCTGATGGGATGCCAAAAGGTGCCCGATTAAGTCGCTCAAGGTTTGTGGGGTAGAAACTCATATCCGTCCATTATGATTGGCCTAGTTGCGTTTGCTTTTTTGTTTGTTTCTTCCAGTGCACAGATTTCTGTACTCATGGCAAACACCACACATGGTTTTGGATTCCTCATTGCTCTTCGCTCCAGTATTGAGGGGGATGTATCACACTGAATGTGAGATTCTGTAGGACAAGAAAATGATCACAAGCACGTTTAATCGGTTGAACAATCAGTAGTTTGAGATGGAAAAAGTATCCCCCAGTCCGGGAAAACGCCACCAGGTGACGTGCAATGCATGGCCTGCATTACTTTGAGCACCTGGGTAGCCGAGCAATTTCTCCCTGACGTTCGGAGGAGGCTCCGAAGCATGGGGCCGACATTTCGGGGCCGAAGCCGAGACCAAGCCCAGTCTTGATCCGCCCTCTCAAGCCAAGCTTTTTGTGAGCCGTACTCCGTATGGATGCCATATATCCCCGTCGCCACTGATTGCGACCATCCGCGCTTGGACTTGCCTAGTTCCCTTATTATTCAACCGACCACGCGAAAGCAGACAATGTGAGTACCACTCTTCACTCATGTCTGGAATCGCGCAAGTTCCAGGGTGAGCTTTCTTGGGCCTAATGGGTTAGGCTGGGGTAATTAGTCAGTTGGACTTGATCCATCCTTCTGCCTGCCGGACCTCTGGGAATGTGGCGTCGCCGCGAAGGTCCAAATAGGACAGTTGATTCATTTCACATTTTCTTAGACAGGAGTAAGCTAGACGGTGGACCCAGCACGTCGGAATTAAAGCCGTTCCCAAGCTTGCCAGGCTCGACCAGACCCTGAAGTAGGCCGGGGAACCGGGAGCGCAATCGGTGTCTTGGAAAAGGAGAAGAATTTCTCC